TTGATAGATTAACAGATGTGACTCCTGAAGCAAGAGATGTAAGCGGGCATATCTGACGTTCAAATACAAGAAATGCAAAAGTACAATAACTTGGAAATAAAGCCCAGCATTTTAAAGAATTATTTTTACACAAGCAAATCCAGAAGTGAACAAATTTTGGTTTGGCCATATGCTTTTACCTCTCCCTTTCTTCCTCTTTTTAGTACTGCATGGGGTTAATTCAACCAGACATTCCTACTTATTTATAGAAGTTAGTCCCCAATGAGTTCCTCTAACTCCAGGTAACAGCTCAATGAAGTGCACATAACACAACGTTTGCATATTCAGCCTTATGTGACATTGTCAAAGGATGGCAAGAATATCCTTAGGTGTGCTCTCCAATCTGTTGAATCAATAAATGAAACACAGAAAATATTTAGAGAATCAAAGGGCTAATGAAGCTTTTAAGAATTGAGGTCTTGTGTGAAGGGCACTGAGGACATAGACATAGAGGCTGGCCCCTGCCTTACAGAGCTTCAGACTAGAACCAGAGCTGGTTAGCAGGTCATTACAGGCACTTTTCAAGTCTCATGAGGTGAGTCAAATCACAGTAGTGGGTCCAGAAGAATGGTTTACATAAAAACATGCAATTGTTCAAATTCAATTTCCCTGTCTATGGCTTAAGGTATCTTGAATTCAACAAAATGCAATCAGGCAAATCTTATCATAACAGAATTAAGTGAAAAAATTCACACCTATGGAAATATCTGATTGTTTTCCATTCTCTTACCAAAACTTAATATCACATTTATTTAATAAGGGAATGATACCTGTAATTCTGAAATATTAACATCATGTGACTGTTTTGTGACAGTCACAAAACATTAGTTTTCCAACATTACTTGGATTTGATTTTCAAGGTAGAGTCTACAAGCTATTTATTGGCTATTCTTTAATAATATAGGAATAGGTGACAATCCCCATTATGAAGTTAGATTTAGGTAATAGTTTCTTACTAGCTAAGAGTGTTACAAGTTTAACAGGCATACTTTAGAAGAGTGAATTCCTAAGTTATTTCAAATAATTAGCTTGATTTTGGGATGGCTCTATATTCTTTTCTGCTTATTACTGTTAATCTAGTTCAGATTTATTTTCTAAAATAAATTTTTAAAGTTATAAAGTGACTTAAAATAGTGTCATAAAATACAGATTAGGTTCACTGCTCTTTAGAATGCATGTCATCACAAAAGCCAATCAGTGCCACCAGGTTTTCAAAAAAAATTTTTTTAATAATTTTTGGTATTTATTTTCAGTTTCTTTTTATTATAATAAACATATTATTTTGAGGATGAGAAAAAATAAAGCTTATCTCTTTAATAGTGTAGTAAACAGCCATTCTGGTTTCCAAATCAACCTGTTATCAGGTAAGCCAAGAATCACTTCTAGGTCAGAACCACTGTGTTTATTGACAAAACAGCTGTGAGGGGGAGACCGGGCACAGATCTGGTGTCTCTTCATAGCTCCTTGCAGGCTGAGAGCCTGAACATGCTGAGCCACTTGACCCCAGGGCTTCACAAACTCCAAAAGAGACACCACCACCTGCCTCCCTTATGTAACACATACATACCAGCACAGTAAAGCAGGTGGTATGAAGAAGGTGTGTGCTTCAAGTCAGACAGACAGAAAGTCAGACAGGACCTTCTTGGTTTTCTCTTCTGTGAATGGGGACAGTGATGACTGGCTGAAGTGTTGCCAGACTGAATAACATAATGTCGGCAGAGCACGCAGCACACCGAGGGTGCTAACCATGTGGCAGCTACTATTATTGCGTTGTGTCCAGATCAAACAACAAAAGCTAAATTAAGCAAGAGTTACGAGCAAGGAATATTTTATTGTACACATTTTCTCAAAAAAACCACAAAAACAGAACCCACAAATAGGAGCAAAGGACAAAGTTTTCTAGCTCTCTGGGATCCGTAGGGCACCATATCTTATAGAAACATAGCTGGTACGGGGACAAAATGTACTAATCAACATTGCCCTGCCCTCCCCAGTCAAAAAGGCAATAGAGAAAAACACTTTAAATGGGATATTCTAATGTAAATTTGTCACACAATTAAATTTCAACTTACTCAAAGAGTTACTGTATAATAAACTGCAGAAATAGAGTAGGCATTCAGTAATCCGCTCACAATGAATAAATATAGCATGCTTACTTGTTAGGCCTCACATATACAATGAGGAGATGGTTTATCATTAATAGTAACTGGTTTCTTACATTTTAAGGGACATCAAGTCCAGTAATGGAAGTAGAAACTAATTTTTAAAAAACTGATCTTAGAAATTAGCTCCTTGGGTGTGAATCACTATTAAGTTTATTACATACCTTGGGCCAGTTTTAACTTAAAAATGTGGACAGGAACAAACTGAATTCTGTACAGAGAGGACAAAGTGACACCTTTTAGAGCAATATGTTTGTTATATCCACCAGGAGCAGGACAGGACTAGAACATAGCAAACAGAGATTTACAATGAAATGAAATAACGTTTCCACCTATTGCTATAGGGATATTCCATCACCTGCACTAATACAGGGCAATTTAAAAACATGTTTAAAATGAAGAATTGGCATTTTCATGTCCTCTAATTCTAGGGCTAAGCATAAGGATCTTCTCTAACATTCTGTACTTCTTAACCCCTGTTTGTATAAATGAGTGTGAGTATCCAGGAATGGAAAAACCAGTCAACGTTACTTGAAGAACTATCTTAAGTAATCCGTTTAAGATGAACACAGTCAAAGTAAGGCAATAACTATAAGCCTAGCTGTACTATCCCTGATGTGCCCAGTCAGTAAAATTGAGAAAATTTTTGCCCACCTCTATAGAAAATATGCCCTCATTTGCTAGTTTGTGACAGAGACAAGACAAGGCTATCGTGTATTTTCAGACAGAAAAAAGGTAACAGACTCAGGTGGAGAGAATACAGAAACATCTCCTTCCCTTTCCGATACCACACTCTTATCCTTCCTTAAATATACATTTCCTCCTCGATTTATATTATTAGCTTAACCCCTTAGGAGGCACTATAACAACCTTAGTCTCCATGGAGCATTGGGGTTCTTCATTAAAAATGTTTTATAAAATAAGAAGTTTGAAAGCTATGGCATATTCTCAGCAGCTGAGATGTTCTACTCAGTCCACCATAGACATTTAAAGTCACATTTTACAGAATAAAGAAAAACAGAACCACAGTTCAGCGCTCTTCATTGTGGAAAAGAATTGATCACGTTCTACTTTCCTTTTAGGACTTCATAAAATCCCCCCTTTGTGGGGCTGAACCCTAACTGAACACAAGTCAACAGTCATTGATGCCATTTAGGAGTTGGCATCACTAAATTTTCCTTCCAGATTATATTAGTAATGCACATTTTGCAGAAAGCCTAGGCAAAGTTTTTAGAGTAAACATCTTTTTCAGGTGATATAATACAAAAATTACAAGGGGCAACACGTCCTTCAGGCTTATTTCTGAAGCCAAATCAACTTTCACTGCAGGTCATTCTAAAACAGGATGTGCCTGACCCCATCCCTTTCCTGTAGCGTTTGTGTCCCTTCACCATTTGACATTTCAATTTAACTGCCTGTCAAATGTTATAGTTCTTCTTAGCTGCGTCCCTTACTTGTATCATGTAGAATAACATGTGGTCTTCACACGAACCCAACAGAGTAACACAATAATGAGCCTTTATCAATATCCATCAGTCAGACTAACAAAAATATTGTGCTATTTTTAAATTTATCCCTAAAAAAAGTAGGACTCTTTCCATTCACTTCCATAGTGGTAAAGTAATAGATACATGTGTTATTGCTAAAAACTAACAATAAATATCTGAATACTAGAAGTAGGTGCTCCTTCTCCCACCTCTTCCTCCTTCTGGTACTAAGTGGCCAAAACCCTTTCAAACACCATTTGATACAACAGATTTTGCCAAGTTGTTGTGAAAGCAATTTACAAGATGGGAACTGCTGCAAAGGACCTCGTTAACAACTACTGCTCTGGGTTCCCAGCTTCCTTGTATGGAATATTTAACATAAGTTCCAATGACTACAAGTCAACATTGTTTAAAAAGTTTCGGGAGTTCTTGTTTGAGGTGTATATTAATTGCCACAATATCATGGGGCTCACCTTGAACCAGAAATAGAAAATGTCTGTTAGGAGGACTGGGCTGTTCCATGCAACAGAATGATCGTTCCCACCGCATGCAGGCTGGTGGGTGTGTTTTCCAGCAGTCGTTACTAACTGCAGTGACAAATAGTCCAGTGGTTGTGTGATTCCCATGGTAATGGCAACACAAAAACATTTTGTCCTCAGAGCATGTGTGAGGGGAGGGAAGAACTGGGACTGCCATGGTTAACAGAGGAATTTCACAAGCCACTCACAACCATCACAACCACCCTGAGGTTTACCCGTGGCCTATTGTCCCGCAGAACAAACAAGTGAAGTAAGCCAAATACTAGATGCAGATGGCACTGAAGAGAACAGATGTCTCTAATGAGCTTGTCAATAACTAAATGCCAGCACATGAGGAGTCTCTGGGATCTTAGGCTCCTCTTGTGTCCCCTCAAGAGAGCGCCCTCCCTGCCCCACTCCTGCTCCCACAGCAGCCACAGGGCCCGGAGGCCCAGCAGGTCGAGGGGAGTGTGTGTGTGTGTACTCGCAGCTGTTGTAAGAAAGTTCTAGGCATCAACTCTTTAGTTCAATATTTTTTTCTCTAAAACGCTATTTGCTAGACTAATCTTGTCCACATCAGCTCACTGTTCGTGAGGAAGTTTGGCTGGAGGGATTGCATTCCTCGGGAACCACAGATAGGTACACAAATGTCCCAAAACACATGTTTACATTTTTTTCCTTTGAAAAGTGATTTGTGTTTAAGAAGCTACTGTCCGTCCACGTGACAGTGACCGTGGCACCACAGGGAAGGGTGGTGCCCGTACAGGCTGCCGCTGGGAAGGTGCAGACCCAGGTCAGTGTGGAGAGAAGCCGGTCGCCAGGCTGCAGCCCACCACGGGTGTCATGTCCCATATCTGCAAGAGAGAAGGTGCCGGGAGGCAGCACTGGTCACCAGGTCTGCCCATGAGAGCCAAGGCTGACACAAACAGATGTGGACCTGGAAAAGGGCCAGAGGAGCTCATTCTCTTCTTTCAATGCAAAACCGCCTCCTGACCCCAACAGTGATAAAACACTAACCATGATGAAAGCTTTTCAGCAGTATCTAGACACCTGAAAATTTCATCAGAATGATGTTGTACTATACCTTATTATGAAATAAAATATGTCAGAGTTTCACAACTCAAGAGTGGTACTAAGTATAAAACAGTTACTTTCAGTTTTTGTGTTAGTGAGAATTCATGAATAATGATAATTTTTAAAAAAAAAAAGTATAGTTGTTTCTTACAACTAGAAGCCTTCTGCCCAGGATAGAAGGAAACCAGCACAGGAAGGAATGGCTCCAGCAAAGGGTCAGCCATGGGATCAGCTGGGAGGGGAAACCCTGGGCTCGCTCAGCCAGATGGCAATCGGGGTGCCAGGCAAAGGGAAATGCCTTGGGAAGCGCATAGGCCAAGGGTATGGAAACTCACAGGCATGCAGTTTGTTACTGCATATCTTCATATGGCTACAGGTTGCTTATGAAAAGGGAAGAGGAGGTTGCCAATCAGAAAGTGAGGCAGGACTAGAAATGTCATGCTCACTCGTAGCATGATGAGGGAGCAATCTACGCTAAGATCTAATTGGGACAATTATGCAGGTTACCTTTACAACGCGATCGGTCCCACAGGTCACCATCAGTCCCCTGGCAACATCCATGGACATGTGGGAGATGTTATGTTTTCCTTCATGAAAGGTTGCTAGAGAAGTCCGACTAACAAAGAGAAAAGGGACCATTTAGAAGTCACCCGACTGTATGTAGAGCTGAGGGACACGTTTTCTTAGCAACAGAAAGGAAATACAGTTGCTCTTGAACAGCATGGGTATGATGCACAGGCCACTAATATGCAATTTTTTTTCCAATAAATATATACAGTACTATAATATATTTTCTTCTTCTATACTTTTCTTAATAGCATTTTCTTTTCTCTAGCTTACTTTGTTTTAAGAATACAGTATATAATAACATATAACTTACAAAATATGTGTTCAACAACTGTTTATATTATTACTAAGGCTTCTGGTCAGCAGTAAGCTACGAGTAGTTAGGTTTTTGAGGGAGTCAAAAGTTATTTGTGCGTTTTCAATTGCCAGGGGTTCAGCACCTCAAATCCCCACATTGTTCAAGGGTCAACTGTACTTAAAGAGCCTTTCATGTAGAAGAGAAACTGCCTGCATGAGATCACAGTGTGGGCACGAGGCGGCCACAGGCTCCCAGACCTCTCTGGCGCCCAGGGAGCAGCACTCACCGACCAACACCAATAGTGCCCACTGGTTTTCCACCGTGGGCCTCTGCCAAGGTTTGCCCATTTACTACTTTCCAAGATGACTCAATGGGAAGGGAACGAAAATGATGGTTCTGCCCTAGTAAAATGCCTGAGTCAGAACAGAATGGGGAACAGAAGGAAATGTCTGAACACTAGTAGTTAAAAAACTGACTGTTAGGTCAGATCTTGGTGGGGGGAAAAAAATCACTGGTGTCTAGAATTTTCCCAGTAATTAAATTTCCATGCACAGATGAGCAAAGATGAGAGCATTCAATGCTTTTGGAAAGAACCAGCTAGCCACTGTGTCAGTGTGTACATGGCCTTGACCCCACACAGCACCCTAAGTGCGGGGGGCTCAAGACTGGGCTGGTCCTAGCAACATCATTCCTTGCAGTTTTGGGGAGAAATGGGTCTTAGGTTGCAAAGCTAGAATAGGATCCTCTCTTAAGACATAGCCTACAAAATTGGGAGACACAAACACGTGGGCAGAAGTATATCCGTGTCACTTCCTGTTTCCGGTGCATAGTAAGATTGAGATAGGCAAACACTCACTCCTCATCCTTGATGGAGTCGTAGCAGGAGTCACACATGCGGACCTGGAACTCAAAGCCCATGACGGGGTAGGTTGAGCGCTTGCTGCTGCATTTCCCGCAGACGGCCTGCCCACACTTCCTGCAGTGGTGCTTCAGGAGGAAAAGGAAGATTTTCACTTTTGCTTTAATGCATAGGGTGTCTCTTCAGAGCAGGGAAATGAAGCGGAGCGGGGAAGTCTTGCCTTGACTTACAAACATTCCAAGTTAATGTAGCAATTGACAGCCAAAAAGTGGGCAACTGCAGTATTTGACAAGGATTTCCAAACAACCTTACTATATTGGTTAGATACTGCTTTTTGTTCATTCATCTTGTGTCTCAATGTGAAAAAATATAAAAAACAAATTCAAGTTCACTTGAAGAGCCCAACTGACTAGAGAGTTCAGGAAGGAAAAATCAATTCCTATGTCAAAGGAAAGTTAAGAAATAAGGTTTTAAATGTAAATGCCCTCATTAAGAAACCAACAACCATAATCAGATGTTTTACTATCTCTTTTAGGCTTTCAAATTGTGACTCTAGAAATAAGCTTCAAGAACATTCCAAAATAGCCCAGTTGTTATTACTGATTCGGACATATTCTTTTATACTGAAAGACCTGTACACTTCCTCTGCTATTAGCTGTTAATCATAAAAGTAATATTAATCTCTTCATGTTTCCTTTAGAAGTAGGTACTTCTTTACCCACCAGACACACATTGTTTCCACCAGACACACATTGTTAGCAATAGCTAACGAAACAATTCATTTTCAGAACATTAGAAAGTTTTAAGTGCTAAAATAATTCCTGCATTGCCTGACAGTTTCATATTAAACTTTGCAGGATAAAAATTTTGTAAGTAAAATCAAAGTTTATTACCACACACAAACTTTAGGCCAATCCTTCAGAGAGATGTAAACAGTAGTAAAATGAATAAAATCAGCATTCCTTTTTACTTACTTGCACAAATTCTACTTACTTGCACATATTAAAATTGAGTGTCTGGTTACCTTCAAGTCTGCTATAAAAATCCTATATAATAAAAGGGTTATATGCAAATTAAACCTAATGACAGAACAACCAGAACGACCACTCAACCAGTCACTATGAGGTGCACTGACCACTTTTTGGTCCCTTTCCTTGGCCGGCAAGCTCCCATCACCCAATGGCAAACGGGTAATTGCGGGTGGGTGGCAGGGGATGTGGGTGGTGGCAGGGGACGTGGGCGGCGCCAGGGCAAGGCCCCTGCCCCGCCAGTCACCCCACACACAGTGAGAGACACATGACAGGGGCGGGGCTGGCAAGCAGGTGGGAATGGCCGACCTCTTGGTCCTTCCCCCTGGCTGGCAGGCTCGGGTGGGGGTAGGGTAGCGGAAGGTGGGACAAAATTCATGCATGGGCCGAAACCGGTTTGGCTCAGTGGATAGAGCGTCAGTCTGCAAACTGAAAGGTCCCAGGTTCAATTCCAGTCAAGGGCATGTACCTTGGTTGTGGGCACATCCCCAGTGGGGGGTGTGCAAGGGGCAGCTGATGGATCGTTCTCTCTCATCGAAGTTTCTAGCTCTCTATCCCTCTCTCTTTCTTTCTGTAAAAAATCAATAAAATATGTATTAAAAAAAATTTCATGCACAAGGGTGTGTGTTTCTCAGCCCAGCCTGCACCCTCTCCAATCTGGGACATTCCTCTCACAATCCAGGACTGCTGGCTCCAAACTGTTCACCTGCCAGCCTGATCACCCCATAACCACTCCCCTACCAGCCTGTTTGCTACTAACTACCCTCCCTTGTTTGACTGCTCCCAACTGCCCTCCCTTGCAGGCCTGGTCCCTCCCAACTACCCTCCCCTGCTGGCCATCTTGTGGCAGCCATCTTGTGACCATATGGGAGCAGCCATCTTTGACTACATAGGGGCAGCCACCTTGTGTGTTGGAGTGATGATGGTCAATTTGCATATCACTTTTTTATTGGATAGGATAGAGGCCTGGTGAACAGGTGGGGGCCAGCTGGTTTGCCCTGAAGGTTGTCCTGGATTAGGGTGGGGGTTCCCTTGGGGTGTGGGGAGGCCTGGGCAAGGAGCCTGTGGTGGTTTGCAGGCCAGCCACAACCACCAGAGACTCAAGTAAAAGCCCTGGTATCTGGGATTTATTTATCTTCTATAATTAAAACTTTGTAGCCTTGAGCAGAGCCAAGCCTCCTGCTTGCTAGTAGCTACAGCCATTTTTGTTGGGATTTATTTATCTTCTATAATTGAAACTTTGTAGCCTTGAGCAGAGGTCTGGGCCCACCAGGGCAGGGAAAGCTTGGCTTCCTCCATTGGTGGGGGCAACCCAAGCCTCCTGCTCTCTCCGTGGCCGCACCCAACTTGCTTGTGTTAATTTGCGTACTTGTTCCTGATTGGCAGGTGGGCGTGGCTTGTTAGTTTAGCAGAGGTACGGTCAATTTGCATATTACTCTTTTGTTATATAGGATTTGTAGAGCTTTAGCATATGTACATACCTAGTGAGAAGAACATCTTTGAAATCTATAGGCTATTTTTAATTTAAAAAACAAAAATTGTACTTGAAACATGCTTAAAAATATTATACATGCTTACTAAAAATATTCCAGATAGATTTATGTGGAACAATTTAGGAATAATCTAAAATTATTAGAGCCACAGTATTCCAGTGAGGACTGAATTGTTGCTTTTTATCAGTTTGTGAAAGCATGAGGCTTGTATGCTCTAATTCATTCTAATTTGGTTCTCGGGTAGTATGAAACAGTCCCAAAGTGAAAGATCTGATTCATTTACCAGCAGGCTTGGGTTTTCTATGCATCCTACTCTTTCAGTGCAGGACAGCCATGGGACAGCTAGGGGACAGTCTCCAGTGCAGGACCAGCAATGGGGCAGCTAGGGGACAGTCTCCAGTGCAGGACCAGCAATGGGACAGCTAGAGGACAGTCTCCAGTGCAGGACCAGCAATGGGACAGTCTCCAGTGCAGGACCAGCCATGGGACAGTTAAGAGACAGTATTACTGGCCCAGGAAAGGTCTTGCTCATTATTAACAGTGATGGTAATATCCAAAAAAGTATGAATTAACAACACTTCTGGAGAAGTGTGATTCCAAACAAATAAAAATTACACAAATGAAAGAATGCATGATTAACCCGGTGGTGACTCAAAGTTGGCTACGTACCTGCCTCAACCCCAGTGTCTTTGTGTCCCACATCTGCTTGATGTTCCAGAAAAAGGGCTGCTCACATTTCTGGCATGAATCACTCTCTAACCACTGAGGAGCCTGGGCGGAGAGAGACAGAGCCGTCAGTGCGGCTGCATGTTCACACTGGCTTTTCAGCAATTCATACGACAGTTCTAAACATAACTGAGGTTAGCATTTTAAAAAATTCCTCAATATTTTATAGCTATTGCCATATCCACTACCATGTCTGTGTTCTGCATAATCATTATCATTTTAGTAATGTTTATAGGATTGCTCAATTTTCAACTTATAGAAAAGAGGAAATTATTCAATTCTCATTTGAACTCTTAGAGTTGTATCTGTATATTTCTTCTGTTATGCCAAATTTGTTTGAAATTGTTCAACCAGTTGAGCAAAAACCCCTTTTTACAGAATCTGGCAAACAACCACTTGAGGCACATGGTGGGACCACAAGGTGCCTAATAGGGGAGTCCCTGTGGCTAGGCACCAGGTCAGACAGATTTTCCACCCCCGCCCCCCAGCCTTGCCTGCTCCTCCTCTTACCTCTTCTCTGTTAACGTCCATGTTCCACACAGCAATCCCACCATCGGAGGAACAGGAGACGAGCTGCCTCGTGAGCTGAAGGTAACACAGCGACTGCACCCGGTCACTGCAGATGACACACGCCAGCACTGGTCTCAGTGTGGGAAACAGGCCCATGGAGGCGCAACTCCCTCACCTGCTAGCATCAGCCCTTGGCATTTATCACTGACTCTGGTATGGGAACATGGATCCTGGGGTAAACTACCTGGCATTCTGTAACTTACTATAAGAATAATAGTTTCTACAAAACAAACACTACTTTCAAGCTAGTCATCGAGAACTGCAGGTCAGAGATGAGATGATGACTACAGTTTTCTGGACCAATCACCATGATTCCCTTGTCAGGTGCACAAGATTTACCTCCTTGTTCAGACACAAAGGACAAAGGAGGTGTAATTGCCTTGCCTGAACCCAACCATAACAAGTGGTCACACACTACAGAGACTACTGATACACACATGCTCACACGCACACAAGCTTACCGTGCACATACATGTTCACACATGATCACATGTACCCACTCACAAATGCTCATATGTGCACACACACACATATGCTCAAATGTGCATACACACATGTATACAAGCAGATACCATGGAGGCTCTGGGAACAATCTCCTGGCCTGTAGGCCTGTATGGAGAATGTTTCCTTGGCTACTTTTCAGCTTGAATCTGGTTATGGTAAATGGTGTCAAACTAGCCAACAAAGGGGAGATGGTTCCTTTTCCTTTCAAGACTAGATGGCAAGAGCCAGAGTATTACACCGTCATAGCAATGGCCATACGACTACATCAAGCCACATATTCCTTCTTAATGAAATAATTTTATAATTTAAGAAAACGAGTTAGGCATCTGATTGCAGAATAGCTTAGTATCACATTACACACACTCTTCCACGGTCAAAGTCCAGTTCTGAGCTCCAAGCCTGAGCAGCTTATTTCAATAGGATGACTCACTGGGAGAGACATGTGGGGAGTGCCCTTTGGGCCAAGGAGGAAGAAAACCCTGTGCTCTTCATTTCCCTTTTGGCTACAGAACACCAGACACTCAGGACTATCAGAAAAACAGTTCAAAGTGGACCCCGTCAGCCCTATCAGATGGCTGTTTTTGAAACACTAATGTTTCCCCTGCTTTCCCTCAACTCAGGTTCTCTCCCCACCCCAGAACAGTCACGCACTGGTGGCCCTGGAGCAGGATCGTGCGGCCCTTCCTTCCTCCGATGTCCCACATGATGATGCTGTTGTCAGAGGCTCCAGAGAAAAGTAACCGCTGGATGGGATCCCACCAGAGGCAGGTGACACCACCTGGGGGGAAGGGAGGGAGGGAGAAAAGGAGGGAGGGAGGAAGAGAGTAGGAGGGGCAGGGACAGAGAGAGGATTGGTTAAATATAACTCCATGTCAGGGCACACACATCTGACAGCTGAAGACCCAACTAGCACAGCTGAGTTTCAGGAAACGTGTATCTTCACTGTACAAAGGGCCATTCAACACTTCATCACGAGTCATGAGAAGACACAGTACATCCACTCTCCTGGTCATAAGACTAAAATCTTCAGTTGTACATCAAAGAGGTACAAAAGGGCAAAGATGTTTCAATAAATGTTTCCTTGTTCTGTATCATATTGTAAAATTATAAAACAGTTGTTGAAAAGATTATAAAAAAAACTTTTCAAAAATATGGCCATTGACATTTAATGAGAACAGGCCTTTAGGTTTACTGTGGTCATCTTATAGAAGCTTGAAAGCGAAACTATTGCAGATCTCTGGGACCTGGCAGGTGGTTTACAGCCCAAGATGCCGAGCCGATGTTTGAGAAAATTAAGTGTCTCCAAGGAAAGGTTTACAGGTATTTCAGGAATTTAGGTAAAAAATCCAAATTGGCTAAACTCAAAAACCTTTCTTTCTACAGATTTCTCTTTCAACAGAACTCATCATTATTCCAGTGACTGCTTACCTAGAAGAAAATGATTAATAAACTTAATAAAACTGAACCAGTCATACAAACTCATAATATTTTTGTGGGTATATAGAAAATGAATGACACCATATTCAAAGCAAACAACACAAGCGGTTTCTCACAGAAACTTAACAAAAGTGTGTGTGTGCGGGGCGGGGGGGTGTAATTCTGCAAAACTGGCTTCAGGCATAATTTTGTATACACACCGACACTGTTTAAACAGATGCCCCACACATTTTAGCTAGAGGCCTAATAGCAGACAAACAGGATCTTTCTATACGAACACGACTAAGCAGTGACCAGAACTCACTCTAACCTAGCAACCTGGAGAAAACTTAACGAGGCTGGAGTCATGAGACTCTTAGTCATAAATGGAAAGAGGTGTCCTCAGGGGCTGCTTTCCTGCCCACGTCTACTCCTACTTACTGTTCTTTCTCCTTCTTCCTCTTCAAGATCCCTGTCTGACAGACCTGATTTCACTCAAACAGATTACTTAAGACAGTGTGAAGAACATTTAATTTGTTAGACTTAAGACACTATTTTCATAAAAGTCCATCATTAATTCTTTTTAACAATCCCCAATTCTTCAATCTAAACCAAATGACCTCAAAGCTTCCAATTTCTTACCCAACACAGTTAAGTGCATTTTAAAACTTTCTTGGAGTCTTGCCAACTCACTGCACTGCAGAAATAATGAAATTGCACCTAACCTTTTTCCACAGCCCCTACCCAGGGGAAGTTTCCCAAGTAGAGGCTGACCCGGCCCATACATTTCTTTTCATTGTATTGATCCACTAGTCTTGTTCAGTGTCCTAGAAACTAGTAATTTAAAAATAATAACATTCTTGGAAAGGTTTTACCATTTACAAAAAAAAAATTTTTAAAGATCTGAAAATAATTTCATTGAAAACGGTAAGCAAAGTATAAAGTATGATCCACACTAGCAACCTAGGAGGGATTTTGACAATACAAAACCTAAACCAGCATGCTATCTTCACTTAGCCTTCACTCTGTGAGATCTGAATCCCTGTCTGGCCAATCAAATTGAAATCTGACAGGTCATGGGGAGGTGATCATCCATGAAACCACAGGGCTGAGAACTAAATTCGGATGCCCAAATTAGGTTGAAAAGCTGTGGGTGAGGACGCAGACTACCTTCATGCCCTTTGAGAGTTGTGATAAGGGAGCAGGCGGCCCTTTCCAGCTTCAGCAGGGTGATATTTCCAGAGAAATCGCCAACAAAAGCATACTGGGTATCAAAATCGAATCTGTGGGGAAGCAGTCAAGGATCTCCAACACAATCTCAAAGTTGTAAAGCAAAAAATGTTCTCTTTAAAGAGACTAAGCACAAGCCCAAAACTCTGAGAAAGGAAATCTCCACCTGAAAATCAAGCAAAATTTAAATACTGACAAAATAGTTTTAAACTGGACTCATGGAGAAAATTAATATGTAATCATTCAACAAGAATTCATTGAGTATCTGTCATTACTCTAAGCAATATTTGGAACTTGGCAATAAAAAAAAAACTATAACAGCTAACAGAGAAGACAGACATGAGAGCAAGTACCGTAGTTATAAGCAAATGATAATAAAACGCAAAAAAAGGTGAGCTGCTCAATAGTGAAAAAAAGCAAGAAAGAACTGGAAGAAAAGGCTATTTGTGAAATATCTCTGGAAATAATGTAAAGCTGACAGCCAATACGGACATGACCCATCTTTCCTTTGCCCTAGATTATTTAGCTTTAAGTAAAGAGGATGGCTCACTTTAAATTGCTGTGGAGAGTTCATTCAACCAAAAGGCAGTTATTTGGGCCAATAGTAAATTTACATTTTAAAACTATATTAACTTATCACTTTCTCAGTGACATTATAGTCATAGAAACTTGTGGCAAATTGGTAGTTGACACACAGTAGGATACTACTACTTAAAGATCAGAAGGACAACCATGGGCTAGGTGATGACTGTGGTTCTGTGCTATTTTCTTCCAATCCATATGAAAAGCCTAACTCGCAACAGAAACAATTAGCACATAAAGTATCTGAGTATTTTCCTTTGTTTGATACTAAAGTGTATGGTACTAATTTATATGATTATTTTAAGTATCTCATGTTCTCGGTACATTCATTTGTAGCAAACATTTTCTATGAAGGCTTTCAATGGAAAAAAGGAATTTTAGTAGGCCAGGTGTCCAACTCTGAAAAAGAACTACTGATGCTGACAGCCTTGTCTTGCCGGTACTAAGATACACAACTACCACTGCTAGCCTTAATCAAGGGCAAACTCCACGTGAAAGGTTCCATTTACCAGTGAAAAAATTTTAAAGCAGGAATTCTAGGGATGCAGAGGCACCTTTGAGAGTATTATAAGAATTATGAACCCATTTTATACATAAAAAAACAACAACTATAAAACTTGTAGCCCATTTATGAACTCCAGAGTCATAAGCCTTACTGCATTTATATTCTACTAGAGTCCCAGTGCACGAATTCATGCTCTGGTGGGGTCCAGCTGGGGGAAGAGGCCGTGGGTGGGTTGCCAGCTGGCCTCACCCCCAATCTGGGTAGGAGTGCCTACTTGAGGGCGGGACCAGCCAGGGGAGGGGCCATGGGTGATTTGCTGGCCAGCCCTGGCCCTAATCAGGGTGGGGGAGACTGCTTGGGAGTGGGCCGACTGGGGCAAGGGGCTACAGGCATTCTGGTCATTCCACTGTTTGGTCAATTTGCATATTACCCTTTTATTATATAGGATTGCAGGGTCTGTAAATAATAAATTACTAGACCAATTCTTTATTTTTCTTTCTTTATACAAAAAGTCTTTCCTTTCACTTTGAAATGTAAAGGAATGAGGGGAAGAATTTGCATTAATGAGGATTAGATTTTCTAAGATTTTGTATTAAGCATACAGCATTTCCCAACAGGGAATAGTAAGTCACTTAATTATTTTCAATAAGCCAATTTTATACCAATAAAGGTAAATACAGCAAATTTTAGATTTTATGTAAAATATCAGGAATCATTTAGTTTTTGGATCTCAATTAACAATTTCTTATCTTGTTTTTTTTATTTTCTTTCTCTTTTTTTTTTTTTGTTTTAGTCTTTTTTTACTTTTCCTTTGTTTTGTTTTTCATATTTTCTATTCTACTTTTTGGATGCTTTTGTCAATCAACAATTTATGATCAGAATAGAAATTAATCATTGGGATAAGGAGGCAAAGGCCCAGCCCTTCAAAGGATACTGCAAACACGAAGCCCAGGAGGGGAAGAGGTGTGTCCCGAGTATGTCCCCGGTCCGGGTGCACATCCAGCAGGCACACTTGTCGTGACCGGTACTGATCACCCACTCGATGGCCACGCTGAAGATAAGTGAAGACACCCGGTTCTGATGAGCTGCAGGAACAGAAATGGAAAGTCTGAGCCCTGCAGGAAGAAATGTGACCTTCAGAATTGAATCTCGTGGGGTGAGAACTGAGGCTGACCTTCTCAACCTGGCTGGCCTGCGGAGGCACAACATTCCGTCACGGGAATGCCGGACCGTGAGCGGGTGTCAGATGATCTGCCCTGCCCTGACTCTCTATCACCGGCTTCCCTGGGCCCTGTCCTCTGCCTGCCTACATGGCAGACAGATAGAAGCTACCAATTGTTAGAGTAATGCTCAAGAGGGATTCTAATAATAGATTAGAGAACAGACTTGTATTTTGCTCTAAAAAAAAAAACCCCTACCTACCAATGAGGAAAGCAGGAGTCTTTTCTTAAAAGAGAAAAAAAATTTATTTTCCATAACTTCAGTGTTTTAACCCTTTAAAAAAGACTTTGTAAACAAGAGCAAGTATATTTTTCTGTAACTAAAAAGTACTTTAAGCAATCTGTGTGTAACTTTTTACTATTTATAAAGACAAAATATTTCTATATTCCAAAATACCAAAATAGGATCCAAGAATGAGGAAAGTATTCTGTCTGGGACCTAAATTATGAAATATCTGTTTGCAGATTAACTGTAAGCCATAGGGCTATGCTGATTATAGCACCTTGTATGTAACAGGAGCTTAGTGAATGCCCAGGCTGATGAATGAAGTCTGAGACTAGACAGAAAAACTTCTAAGTTGCTCTCAGCGGTACAGGCTGCTTCAGGAGCACTGAGGAACTCTTTCTTATAAATTAATTAGCAAATGATTCTGGGAATATGGGCAAAGCATGAACCAGACATGCATAAAAGATGACAAAGGGTTAACCTTAAATACAGCTTAAATAATTTTTAACGTGAGAACTATTTTGACTATCAAACTGGCAAAAAGTATTTATAAAGAGTAACGTAAACATTTAAAGAGCAGGCACTCTCAACCACCATTCACAGGATTGCAAAATTTGCACAATTGCTGGGAAGAGGTTTGCAAATAAATCTAGAGCATTAAAAACCATTTTAATGTTTGACCCAGTTACTCTACTTTTATGAATTTGTCTTAAATAGAATTAGAGTCAGAGTAACAGTCAAGGACACACACACACACGTATATACATAGATATGAAATACATAGACTCACAGATTTATATACACATACTAGTATATCCACATCCACTATCATATGTGTTAATGAATGGGCAATATAAAAAAGTAGAAGCAGTACTCATATTCAAAAATAGAGCAATAGTTAAATTAAATCTGAAACTTTCACCCAAATAGAATAGTATACAAAAATTTAAATATCAATAAGCAGAAAAAGAATGGTAAATAACTTCAAAGAAGTAATAGCCTCTTATTTAATTGAGGTAACAAAACTAAAAAGTTAATATGAAAACCTACATTTTTATTTTTATATTTTGTAACTTTATTTATTCTTAAAATCTTTATTGCTGAACATATTACATATGTCCCTCTGTTTCCCGAATTGACCCCTTCTAGACTGTCCTGCCCCCTCCCCATGCCTTCACCAAACCTACTTTTGATCATATGAGATGTTCTAGTTTTGTGTACGCAAATCTACATGTATGTACGCAAATGTGTGAGTGTGTGTGTGTGTGTGTGTGCGCGTGTGTATTATAATTACCTGGGTAAGTCCTGATAAAGTTCATTTTATTAAAATCTTCAGAAACATGAAATTCCTAAAAGTAAACACATGCAGTAAGAAAATAGTCACGGTTTTAAAAACAACAGGAATTTAACTTATAAAACAGTTAAACCCCAAAATAGCTATCACCAGACCTGGGACTGGATCAGCTATAGAACAATAACTAGGACCTGTCCTCTGGCCACCCTTTGTTTTGGGGACCAGATGGAACAGAGCCGCTGACCAGCACAGCATTTCTATCCAGTTCTCCGCAGTGAAAGCTTTGAAGTCCCTCTGCTTCTAACTGCAAAGGAAGCAACTTGCTTATTTTTTTCCCTCTGGGCTCCATCAAAAATTCCTCAGATGATATATATAAAGTGAAAATATAAAAACCCATTACTATCAGAGCTCTCAACTACAGTGAAAATAAAACATAGGGTATTCCAAGTAATGTAAGGGGGAAATTATACATATTTAATATACAAATACACACACACAAAAAAGGACATTAAGAGGTTGAGGGTGCGTTTCTTCTTTTTATATTCTTGCATTTTCTAAATTGTTACAGACTGTGTAATACTTTATAACTAGGAAAAAGTTAAAAGTATACGCTTAATGAAAAAAATGAGCTTTAACACAAAACGAAGATGAATCTCTTAAAAAAAAAAAAAAAAAAAAGAAAGAAAGAAAGCAAGAAAGAAAGAGGCCCCAATAAAAATTTCTATTGACCAATGCTAAATTGGTAAGTTTTTAAGGCTCCAAGTAACATGGACTTTATAAATTGTTAACTACTCAGACTGAAAAAAATATAAATTTCCTGTACTCCATCCTGGTTTTGCAAACTATAAATATGTCTTAGCGTCTTAAGGATACTAATCTGTATTGGGTGGAGGATCAATAGATCAATAGCTAATGAATGATAAGTTGGATTTACATTGCCCCTTTCCAATGAAGAGGTATAAGGATTTCTATAGGCTATCCTATTACTGATGTCCTTGAACCAGGAGCCACAAGAAGGGTCCCTAAAAAAGAAATGCTCAACCATTGCCACCATTGGAGAAACTATTTGAGGCTTGCAGTTCATGGCTCCTTATTATATTTGTATATGCACATCACCATTATATTCCTACAATATTGTCAGAAAAAGAAGAGTGAGAATGTTAGCTTTAGTTAAAGCCATACTACATAATGTATTTACAGCAGCCTCAACTTCATAGGGCATGGAACTCATCAAACCCTAACTCTGTAGCCCCCAAGTCCTTACCACCACCTACTGTTTGGGCTGAGAACATGTCTTTGTACTGCCTCTTCCCTTCTTGGCCAAGAAAGACCACAAACAACAAACACGAACTGAGGAAGAAATAGAAAATCTGTAACAAGTGAAGAGATTAAATTAATAGTCCAAAATCTTTCCACAGTGAAAACCCAGGACATCAGGTGGTTTCTCTGGTAACTTCTTCCAAGCTGCAAGTCTGAATCTTACTACTCAACAATTAAACACACACACACACCCACACACACACACACACACACACACACCACAAGCAAAGGTCTTGAATAGGTATTTCTCCAAAGAAGATATACAAATCATCAACCAGCAATTCAACATCACCAGTCATTAGGCAAACGCCAACAAAAATCATAATGAGATACCATTTCACACCTTCTAGGATGGCCACAGTAAAAACAATAGAAAATAACAAGTGTTGACAATGATGTAGACAAACTAGAACCTTACACGTTGGTGGTGGGAGTGTACAACTGTTCAGCCACTTTGAAAAACAGCTTGGGGGTTCCTCAATGAGTTAAAAATAGATTTACCATATGACCCAGCAATTCCACTCCTAGGTATATAGACCCAACAGAATGAAAAACTTACGTTCACACACAAACTTGCACACGAATGTTTATAGCAGCATTATTCACAATAAAAAAAAAGTGGCAACAATCAAAAGTCCATCAACTGATGAGTGAATAAACAAAGTGTGGTCTATCTACATAATAAACAACAACAAAAAAGTACTAATTTAAACTATAATGCAATAAACCTTATTCTATTACTCTAGGTGAATGAAGCCAGACATAAAAGGCAACATGCATTATGTGATTCTACTCACATAAAATGTCAGAACAGACAAATCTCTGGACTCAGAAAGTAGATTAGCGATTGCCAGGAATTGGGAGAGAAGGGCCCTGGTGGGGGAGAGTGGGGAGTGACTGCTAATGGGCTGGTGTTTCCTAGGGGAAGGAGGTGTGATGAAAATGTTCTGGAATTAGAGAGTGTTCATGGTTGCATAATCTTATGAACATACCATAAAACCACAGAATTGCACTTTAAAATGATGAACTTTATGGTATATGAATTATGTTTCCTTAAGAAAAAATGTGTGTGTGTGTATACACACACACACACACACACACACACACAATCTGACCTACAAAAATACCTATAATAAATTAAAAGTGTAAATATGTGATCATTCACCAAAGATACCTTATGAAACATTGCCCTAAAGAGCTATACAAATTGTTGGTTGAACAGCTAGTCCCTAACTTGGTTCTCCTTCCCCTTCCTCTGTTATAGGTATGCACAAGTGCATACACACATACACACATACACACACACACACACACACACACACACACACACACACAGGCTCTTCACCGCAACCTCCTTGTCCTGGCCTTCTCTGTGGTTCAGGGATAGGGGCTGCATGGAGACTGTACCTTGTGGTTAGCCTATGCACACAACCATCCATCATAACACCATTCTGAGTTCCACGAAACTGGTTTAAAATTAAGCACTCATTAAAATTAATCCATTCTGCCCTGTCTGGTTTGGCTCAGTAGAGAGAGCGTCAGCCTGTGGACTGAAGGGTCCCAGGTTCAATTCCGGTCAAGGGCACATGCCAGAGTTTCGGGCTCCATCTCCAGTTGGGGGCATGCAGGAGGCAACCAATCAATGATTCTCTTTCATCATTGATGTTTCTCTCTCTCTCCCTCTCCTTCCCTCTCTAAAATCAATAAAAATATATTTAAAAAAATAATAAAATTAATCAATTTTTAGGTCTAACACCTATACTGAATTCAAAAATTTTTATGCCAATCAGGCATTTATTGCTAACTTTATTTAAACTTCCCAACAGATATGAACATAGAGAGGTTGCATAATACATGCATCCTGGAAAGTACCTACCATGACGGATCCATTATCCTGTCCCACAAATATCCGCCTGCTATCATGATGGTAAGTCATAGCCGAGCAAGGAGCTGCCAGAAAGACAAAGATCACATTATAAGCAAAGCTAAGCATTGTGTCATTGTGCAAAATTCATTATTAAAAAAGAGCTATATGATTGAGGTTAAAAAAGAGGGTAAAAGAGTTTTGTAAAAAAAACAATGATGTAAATTAAAAATGCTAATAAAGTTCTTTCTGATATTTCAGCTTAAAAATCCTCACACAAAATTATTTTTAAAACTTTGGGTTAAGCGATCCAGCCTGACGTTTCATCTGACTGAAACTCCTACCTGTTTCTGGCAAGGTTTGAAGACCAATTCTTACAGTGGGTGATCTGCACCCCATACTCAATGGGTCATCCTGCCCCCGCCCCCCATCCCTAACACAGGTAAAAGTAGCTCCGATCTGCAGACAGAGGGGTTCCGGCATAAGAATTTCCATTCCAAGGCATATGTGAATTACTTTTGAATTACTTTTTTCCTCCTCAATGGCCAAACAATTTTCCCTAATGCAATGACAACCAACCCTGTGTGTAGTCCATGAAGTTGTGTGCATATTTTTCTTTGTCCACAGCAGAATCATGTGACTGGGTAGCACCTGCTTCCCTCCAGGTTCTGGCTACCCTTTTAGACAGCAAGGGCCAGAGAATGAGTTTCAGAAAGGAGTGACTCCACCTTGTCTCCTTCTGCTACACATCAGAATTAATGTGATTTAGAAAAGGGAGCATTTGTAAAAAGAATGTATGGGTTAATTTCATCCTAAGAATTGTAATTGCCCAGGAAGGAACCATAACAAGGAAATAAATGTGTGCCAGGAAAAAAAACAAACTTGAGTTTGCTTTGAAAAAAAACTTCATATGAAAAAGTAAGGGAAAAAAACCTTATACATAAAGTCACCATTTGAAAATTGTTTAATTTAATTTAAAGTTCTCTCTCTACAATGGGCTGGGTATTCTCCACAAAGGTAGACAATAAACTATAACACAGTACTGGATTGTACTCAAAGGCAAGAACACAGCTACCTGCATGACCAGCTTATGGGAAGAAACTGTTAGAGTGGCAAAGAACCATCGAGCTGAAAGGCAGGCACTGCCTTTGCCTGTAAACAGAACAATGACAAGTGGCAAGAAACCTGTACCCCCTTAGCACCATATTGCTGTTGAAACTGCAAAGAATGATCATGTTTAAGAATTATAACCACAAAGATATATGCATCTTCATACACAGTGCTCTTTAATAACCATACATAAAATTATCACTGACACGAAATTACACTTTGATCATTTCAAAGTTTCACTGTCATCGTTTTTACTTTTCAGGTGGTACTAAATCTTAATGCTTTAAAACTTCTTTTCAATTATTTTTATGCCTAACCCTCTAACTAACAAACTGTTCATAAATACTATGTAGGAACCCTCCTTTTTGCAAAAATTACAATGGGCTGAGTTATTTTATGCAGCTATAGAATTCTGAAGTTTAAACAGAAAGCTTTCCTAGTTTATTTGCTTTGTGTATAAAGATGTCCTGACTCTTTTCCCTAGAAGACAAACTTCTAGCAAGATAAGCAATACAAAATTTTTTTTAAGTTTAGATACTCACATAGTTTTATAAACAAAATACAAATCTGTGGCCTTTTAAAAAGGCATCACTGCAGTCCCAAATCATTTGCTTCAAGTCTAGTTTTGTAAATAAAATTTTTGTTTTTTGTTTTTCTGCAACACAGCCAGGCTCCTCTTTTTAGCATTGTTTATGGCTACTTCCAAGTTCCAAGGGCATAAGGCTGAAGAGTTGCCATGTAGACTGTTTGGCCTATAAAGTGTAAATATTTACTGTCTGGCCCTTTCAGGAAAAGCTCATGGATACACCCCATACCTGTGGTGGGGAGCATAGTTTTGGAGTCAAATAGGCATGAATTGGAATTCCAACCACAAGCAACCAACGTAACCCCTCTGGCCTCAGTTTCCTCATCTACTAATGGTGAAAATGTCACCTACCTTCCCAAGTTGTGTGATTATTCATAACATGATGTTATTTCTTATAAAGGCATGAGGCACACAATAGATACAGGAACTAAGAGTTACCATTTCTTTTCAGCTAAAGCAGATTCTGAAAGTTATCTTTGTAATGGGAGGAAACATTCTGAAACTTAATCGGAACACAGAGCAATATGCTAAGGTTCGGCTCGTTGATCACAGTCAGGTCACAGGAAAAAGTCTAAATTGGTGGCTGACCACTAAAATGTCCTAAATTGGGTAATCTACAGATAGTTTTAAGAGCCAACATGGCACTTTGCTTCTCATATTTTGAATTTATTTTTAAAATGAAAATCATCCTAAAATAGACAAGCAATTATTTCTCATAATTCATTGATTGTGTTCTTCTGGCAATGTTCCTGCAGTTTTATCTGCAGATACATTTCCAGATGAATGCAATAAAGAAGCTTTCAGAAGCAACAAGCCAAATGTGTGTAGACATAAACTTGTGGGGGTCAACCACCAACAGCAGAGATGCTGGGCCTGTTTGTTCCAGTTTGTACTGGTCTCTGTAGCCACAATGTTCTGGGAGCTACTTCCAGAAGGTCCCATTAAGGCAAGTTGGCAAGGGATGACCAAAGCCAATGCCCAAGACCTCAGAGCCACGGAAGAGTACTCACTTCTACCGCCACTGGAAGCTAAAAGAAACCCCTCTTTTGGTTGGGTAGAAGGTGGGCTCAAAGGCCCAAGATGTCCCACCCACCTCTGATCCCTGCTCCCAACAAAATCCCAAAGTAAATTTATCAAATGGGCCCATGGGCACCTTTATTAAGACATTGGTCCTTCATATTTCAGATGAGTGACCAAGGTTATGCAGCCACAGCATATGGATATAGGAGATACTACTGCTTGCTCCCATCAGTATGATTGGGTTTTCTTCTAGTGCACTCCATATTATAAAGCTTTATGGTGCCTTTTATAATAGTTATCTCTATAGCAATAGTCCAAAAAGTCTACTTCATTTTCACTGAATGATTAGCAAGACAGAGAAGCTGAGGAGGCTGCCCAAGCTGCAAGTGGAAGACAGAACAAATTAAAAACCTGACAAACCAACTCATGTTTTGTAGAAACTGACCACAGGGCCTGGACAATGCATGCTCGCGGGAATAAAAGTGCCCAGGAGGGTGGCTCCCGCTGACCATGGGAATGTGCTGAATAACTGGCTACTCTGTGTATACAACTCCACTGCCTCTGCATCAACTCTCAAGAAAGTTGTCACCAGTGTCTGGAACAACTGGCAAGAGGTCTTTTTTAGGAGAACTTCTTCAGAAGTAAAACCACTGAGCATGTCCCACAGCCTTTCTTCCTTCCTTCTTTTCCCAGGGGGCCCTCTAAACAGTGGATCACTTAACTGAGGAAAATCCCTTATTCAGGACCAAACCACAAGGAAATGAGAGCTCTGGATGCTTCTGCGGCCATTTGGCACAGCAGGGCTCAACCCCAGCTGGGCCTGGTGGGGTTCAGGCGTCCTCCTCAGACAGGGCTCTCTTTTGCAGAAACGGTGGAGAAACGAAGTGGGAGAGGATGGTGATGCCGCTTAGATCTGCATGACGGGCTACAACTTAAATGTAATTTTATGGATCTTTAGCTCAGGGTTGCCTTAAAAACCTCATCTCAAAAGACTGATCTACATTTATTTTTAGAACACATTTAGCTCCTGAGAAAATTCTCTTTTTAGAATGTGCAGTACTTTGGACCAAATCTCCCACTGGAACCCAGAGGTTTGTGAAAAGGTTGGGCACAAGGCTGGTTATGAGGGCACAGAATGTCAGTATCAGCTACTAGTAAGTATTAAGTCACTACCAGTTTAAGTTGGAAAAATTAGGGAAAACTGGGTTTGTGTTTGGGAGGGGCATGCCACCCACCCCTGCCCACAGTTTTACTCAAGGTTGGTTCGGTTAAGCCAGTAGACCCAACTTCCTGTGCAAAAGAAAAGCAGTTTTCCTGCAGTTAGGCACCGCCAGTGGGAGGGGTTAGATAACTGAAAAACTCATTCTGAAATCTAGCAGCACTTTTTAATAGACAGTTTGAAATTTAAATCACCAAAGACATTAGAGACATGTTCATCGAGTGAAACAATTTCCTACTTACAGGCCAATGTGTGGTAAATGCTGGGCCAGTACTGGCCGCTGTCCCTCTTCAGCCATACTCGGATGGTTCTGTGGAGGAAAGAAAAAGCACATAGTAATTGTATCTTCTTTATGCTCCTGTAAACCTTATTTGTTTTTAATACTATGTCCCAGTTGACCTTAAACACGTACAGGGTTGGGCAAAGGTAGGTTTATAGTTATGAGTATGCAAATCATAGTAGTTATTGTATTAATCAGAACCTGCATGTCTCTTTCTATATGAACTATAAACCTACTTTTGCCCACTTCTGTACATACACATTCACCCAGTATATAGTACTTTTCTAGTATATGTATACGTACATGTTAAATATGGTTATATATAGTATGACCATATGTGGTAGGTTACGTAGTAGTTAGGAGTCAGGTTTGAAATAACTTTAACTTATGAAAAATACTCATGATATAATGATCAACATATAAAGAAAACCGAGCTTTTCTTAGTAAAACTGAGTGTAAACTTGGTCGCCTGACACCTGGGTGAGTGAGGGGAGCCGTAGATGTGCGTGGAAGGGGCCGTTCTTGGAGAAGCAGATGTGCAGACAAAGCAGAGCGCAGGCCGGGCTGGCTCAGGGAACTCCGAGTCTCCATCCCTAGGAGGAAGCCATTCCACCCCGGGCCTCGGGGCCCCTTTCATCAGAGCACACACAGGAAGGCCAGGAAATCCGGTGCATGAGGCAGGAAAACGACAAATCGCCCAGTTAAATATTTTGGCTTATCGCCTCAAGGACAACAGGGAATACTGTGACCCTGGCACCCTGGCTCGTCCCTTCGCCTCACCGATCTGGGCCTCTTCCTCTCTGAACACGAGGCCTCCGGCTGCCCCCAGCGCAGCCATGCTCTGTCTCTGCATGACTCCTGTCTTATGTCCCTTGCTGTCAGCGCTGCCACCATCATCCTTGCATCCCTAACAGCAACACAGATCCCGGCACCAAGCCAGCACTGGATCAGTGTTCACATCCTTGAACTAAAATACATTAAGACTAAAGATGACACTGTGTGTGTGTCTGTTCTGATTGAAGTGTAAGACTGGTCCATGAGGATACAATGTTTGCTCCTGTGGGAGGACAGAACGCAAAGGAATATGAGGGAACTTGTTAGGATGATGAATGGCAAGCTGTGGGGAGGTGGGCACATGGGTGCCTGCATTTGTCAGAACTGGTCCAGCCACACTGAGGAGCTGTACAGATTACTGCATAGGATTAGGCTGTAATAAAAAAAAATCAAAGACTAGAGGTTGACCTTCCGTCATCAAAATAAATCAGACAATAGATCAGATGATGCAGCAGCACGGTGGGCATGATGCTGTTTTGTAAGTGAAGTGAATATGGCCTTCCTGTAGGATCAGGCAATAGTATAGCACGCCTTGGTCACAACAGGACTTTTGCCAAGCTGAATGGCTCAGAATTTTTCTTTATATCCCACCCCTAATCACAACCAGTTAGACCAGAAATGGACGTCTATTCCCAGGTGGATAAATCAGTTTCTTCCCTGGGAAATTGAAAACCAGGAGAGAAAAGAATAGATTAGTGTGTCTCCAGTACTTGAAATGGCTATTTGTGGCCATATGTTTTGCAACTGGGAATGGTATATCAAGAAAGGAGAAAGAATGAAGCTGACCTATAGAGAGAAGCAGGAAAGAGCTAAAGAGTCGAGGTGGGAAATCCATCACGCCGACTGTTCCTGAGGCCAAGCTATGACCCCCAACATCCTTACCATAAACACCCCTACTGGCTTAACCCAATCTGCATTATTTTTGTTGTTTGCACGTATTAATATATTTTGCATGAGACACCAAGAAAAATCCCAAATACAGCCTCTTCATTCAAATACCATTTAGCAAGTTAAGATAGGCAGGCTTTTTTTTTTTTTTTAAGTACCTATGTTGTAACAGGATGTTCTAGAAAGTCCAGGTTCACATCCAAAATTAAAAGACAGAGAGAGGGCGATCAGACTCAAGCATGTATGAACAGACTTTGATTTTTACAGTTTGTAACTCAACATCTTCATTTAAAATGTGTTACTCTTTGAGATAACATTTAAGCCACTCTTGTTACTTGTGAGTTCTTGGTTACTATTCATGACTACCTGACTTTCCTCTTTCACAAATCTAAAAAATTATAACTTTTTCATAATATATCTCTTTCCAGTTTGGAATCATTTAAACCAAGTTACGAAAAATTCTTAATGGCATGGAAAATATTCACAACACGATGTTAAGTGAAAGAAAACTGATAAATGCAGTATAACAACTTTACTTTAAAATGCAATCTGACCAAACCCCTAGATCCAACTACCACTTTATAGGAAATACAGAGAAACATAATAAACATCAACACAAAAATCAAGATTGCAGCAAAGTCTATGGATAAATGACCCAGTTTTTTCTGCAAATCATTTGCCAGGGAGGAAAAAAAAGAGATGGAAGATGAGCCTGTGATTAAACAGGTTTAAGAGGCATATCAAGCAACCACAATGCATAGACTTATTTGGATTCTGAGTCAATCGAACTGTTAAATACATGTATGTCATTATGAAACAATTGAAAATATAAACACTGACTATATATTTCATTATTTAAAAGGTACTGTTCTTTGGTGTGATAATGGTGTTGCTTGTTAAGAAGCAGTAATTCCTATGTAAGGTGCTGGCCCTTGTTCTCAGCATGCCCAACACAGTGCAGCTTCCTCAGAGGTTGCCTGGTCCACCTTGGGCATAACTAGCAGCTGCATCTCCCAAGGAGCTGTGCATCCCACTGCTCTGTGCTCAGAGCCCACCACGGGTTGGTTGTCTCAAATCAGGGGTCCAACCATCCCAGACCCTGCTTCCCATGGAGATGTGATCCTCAAGTGGCCCGATTGGAGGAGCTCAGGTTATATTTCTAAGCCGTCCTTGCCCACCAAGAACTTTCCTCTCCAGTGTATCTGGGCGCATCGCAGGTTGGGTACCACTGCAGGACGACTCCCTCATCAAAAATAATGCAGTGGAAGCTCACAAGGATGATCCTTAGCCCTGAACTACCAACACTATGTCACACTTTATTGACTACAGTCTATGTCACTTCACATATAAGGCTTATGGATATATTTTATTACTTACATTCAACAAAGGGGATGCAGCTAAGGGAGTTGCAGTAAGTGAAAGGCCAATTTCTCTGAAACATTAACTCTGATCAAGAACTCTACCTCTGTATTCACACCTTTTATCGGGTCTAGTAATAGTTAATGTCGTTTTTTAACATTCATTTAAAATCTTGCTTGGCGTTGACTTGTATTGACATAACCTTCAAACACGTGGTATCTACAGAATGTGTGAAGTGCAATTAACAAGTTTTGCTTGAAAAAGTTTGTGTTTGGTTTGGTTTTTGTTGCAAAACTAGAGCTAAGAAGATGGCAGATAAAGAGCATATTCGGCACTGCATGCTTTACGAGTTCCAATTAGGAAGAAAAGCAAGTGAGGCTGCAAAAAGCATCTGTAGTGCTCTTGGTCAAGATGCAGTTAGCGTCAGAAAATGCCAGCGTTGGTTTGAGAAATTTCGCGAGGGAAATTTTTCGTTAGATGACAAGAGTGGTCGAGGCCGTGTGTCCAATTTTGATCAAGAAGCTCTTCAAGCTCTTTTGGTGCAAAATCCTCAACTTACCCAACAAGAGCTTGCGACAACTTTAAATTGTTCACAAAAAACAATTTCCAATCAATTGCGTGCACTTGGCAAAGTCCAAAAGTTTGGAAAATGGGTTCCTCATGAGTTGATGACAGCAACCGTAATCAAAGAGTCACAATTTGCAGTTCGCTCCTCTCTCGTCAAAACCGTTTGCCGTTTTTAGAGCAAATTGTTACCGGAGATGAAAAATGGGTGCTGTATGTTAATTTGAAAAGGTGGCCTCAATGGTTGGACAAAAATGAGGCTCCGCAGCCCATGCCAAAACCTGACTTGCATGCGAAAAAAGTGATGTTGTGTGTTTGGTGGAATTTTAAAGGAATTCTTCATTATGAACTTTTACCATCTAACCAAACCATTACAAGTGCAGTGTATAGTGCCCAATTGGAAAGGTTAGCCCAAGCTTTAAGGGAAAAAGAACCCACGCTGATTAATCAGAAGGGAGTAATTCTTCACCACGATAACGCACGACCGCATACTGCAAGAATTACTGCTGAAAAACTGCGCCAGTTGGAATGGGAAGTTCTCCCTCAACCTGCATATTCTCTGATATTGCCCCTTCCGATTACCATTTGTTTCGTTCTTTGCAAAACTTTCTTCTTGACCGAATTTTTTGCATCAAAATCACAAGAATTTTACAACAGAGGGATTAAAATGCTTCCTGAGCGTTGGGCACAAGTAGTAGAAAACAACGGCAACTATATTGTTGATTAAATTTTGTTGTACTGTTTAAATAAATTCGATTTAAAAAAGTATTAGAAAACGACGTTAATTATTACTAGACCTAATACCTGGAATTCCCTTCCTTCAATTTTTCAAGCCATAGTCTTTCCCTTTCCTGGACAATGCATTAAAACCTCCCACTTCCAAGATTAAGTAAAAAAAAATGTTAAATTTGACCCCTAACACTCCAGCACTTCCAAGAACCTAATGAAGTTGTGTAATTACTACTAAATTTCTATAAATAATTTAGAAATTTGTTTTGTGTTTTCTTCAGAGTGTGTTTCACTGATTTAATAAATGGCTGTAAAAACAAGCTTAAGTTTGGCTGCTTATTAAAAAGTAAACAAATTTCACAGGAGGAGCCAGCTGAAGCCATCCTCCACCAGCTGGCAGTAGCTAACCCTTCACAGGGGAAAGGACCCACCGAGACCCCAGGGCAGACACACACACAAGTGAGCCTGGCTGTGTGACCAGAAGGGCCACCTGGGTGACCCACCAGCTCATGAACATTGATCATAATTGCCGTTTTAAGTCACTTAATTTAGAGGTGGTTTGTTACAGAGCAATAGCTAACTGATCCAATGTCATCTGTTCCAAAGAGAATCCCTTTAAGAATACTTGGGAATCTGACATTAAAATGAAAAGTAGC